ACTTACCAAACCTGACCAAAGCCTAAAAATGTCAATTTATGAGTAATTTTTAAGAGATTCTAACCTTGTCATACAGCAGTTGTGATCATCAGGGGTCCTTCTCTGTAATACCATTTCCTGTCACATGGCATGTTCTTTACAATATTAGAAAAATGGCCTCTTAAATGGTGGTTACACAACTTGACACTTCATGTAGTTTACTTGACTTTCATGATTCCCCAAATTAAATTTCATATTTAGAACAATTGTATTCCATTAGCTTTATTTAATATAAAAAATGTAATAATATAAGATCATGCCAAACTAGTTGATACGTTGTTTTATTGAGAATTTTAGTGTTTTAAGCAAGTTTAATTATTTGGTGCAAAGTTTTTATGGTTACACCACTTAGACATTTTTGCCATGATCCTCTAATATATTCTCTCAAAATGGATTAAAATTTTGTACTGGATCCACACAAAAAGAAAGTCTGTAAGTTAATCATACATTTATTTTCAAATTTTAACCCTTTTGAACTTGACTAAACCATATGGACACAAAAAAAGTAGCGTCACGTCATTATCTCTCTTTGATTAATGATCTGAAAACCAGTATTGATAAATGGTCGGATTTACCTATGAATTTGATAGGAAGAATACATTTGTTTAAATGATATGGTTGCCAATATTTCTTTTTATTTTTCAAACTATTTCATTTACTCCTCCAAAATATTGTTTTGTTTTTTTTTACACGGCTCAACGCTTTAACTTACCTCCTTTATTTGGGCTAATAAAGCACATAGGTTGAGTAAAACAATTTTGCAAAATGCAAGAACTGAAGGAGGTCTTAAGCTTTCAAATCTAGAGTGTATTACCATGCTTCTCAGATGTTCTATATAGATCGTATAATCAATAACACAGGGGAAGAGCCCTGGATAAATATTGAAAGCCAACAGTTAAAGCCTCACAAATTCTTTACTGCTCTGTTTACAAAACACAATATAAATGTATCTAATTTTGTAATAAATAGCACATTAAAAACATGGAAGAGAATTGGAAATATATTAGGAGTACAACTTGGTATACCTAGGAACACAGGGCTTTGGAAAAATCAGTCAATAAAATTTCAAAATGTGGAGCTTAACTGGGTCTCTTGGAGGGTAGGGAAATAAATATTTATCAAATATAATCATGCATAACAAGGAACAATCATTTACTGAACTTCAAAATAAATTTACATTGACAAACTAAGAATGTTTTAGACATTTACAGCTAAAAAAGGTGGATTACTGAAAATTTTACTTTACACTATGATCCGGTGCCCGGACCCCTTGATGTTGTTTAAAGAAAGAAAAAAGGAAATAATACTTTGCAAAGTATATAATATGCTACTGGTGGAACAATCTAAACAGTATTCAATGCAAAAACTATATAATGTATGGAACAAAGATCTCCATTTTATAGAAGCTGAAACAAGATGGACGGAGTGTTTACCTCACTAACAGTATCACCACAAATGAAAATCTACCGTTAATACAATAAAAATTAATAACAAGAATATATTACACAAGAGATAAAATTCATAAGTTTTATCCAAACTTATGAAGCACAGCTGTATATTTTTCAATATGTTGGAAATATAAGATATCCTTGGGATGGCGGATTATGTTCTCCTCCCATCTCTATAAAAAACTCATTTTAAAACACTGGAAAAAAGCAGAAGCTCCTACTTTACAGATCTGGGAAGATTTAATGAGATATTTAGATAGAAAAGACCTTATTTTAGGATTACAACAAAATAAAGCAATTCTGTGAGGTTTGGGAACACATATTTTGCTTTATAAGTTAAACCAAAATGATGGATGGCAGGAAAGAGAAGGACTCTGGTGGGGATCAAGGGCAGGTGTGTGTCACACATGTGTGCATGTGTGTATGTGTTGAAGGGTGTGGGACAGGGGGAATTGGAATGAGAAGCATGTGATTAGTGTTTAGAATGTAGGAATGAATGTATTGTGTCTTATTTTATGTCTTGTGTATATAAATGTATAGAGGGAGTGATGTTTTATGTTGCTTGACACCATTCTAGGTTAGGATATGTTATGGAATACATATTATGGGTTTAAAGGAATTATTAGTTTTGTTGTTGAAAGACTGTAAGTAAAACCCCATGGTGTACAACATGACATTAATAAAGATAATTAACATTATACAAAAAAAAGAAAGAAACCATGTTAAAATGGTATGGGTGATCAACAGACAGATATAGAGTGCAGAAGTCACGCCCCTTCCAGTGAAGCTCATGGGACCTTAGATCGGAAAAAAAATATGAATGGCAGTAAATGAGGAGAGAAATGTTATCTTTTGGTCCCATTTGAGTTGTGACATGAAATCCAAGTATGTCGTTCATGAATTTAAAACATAAATTTTAAGGTTAAGAAAGTCATACTTTGTGGTAAAACTGTTGAGATACTAGCTTTTGAAAAAACGTAATTAGAAAGACTACACAGGAGGCGGTCGCGTATGTGACGTTATAGCTTTCGCTCGCTTCCAGCAGCTTGGAGTGACTGCAACCTGTAACAAAACACACAGACAATCATAAATCAATTAATCATAACACAGTGGAATTTCAGCAGGGAGGCCAAGCTGCAGGAAGCGAGCGAAAGCTATGACGTCACATACGCGACCTCCTCCTGTGTACTCTTGAGTCTTTCTAATTAAAAAGCTTATATCTCAACAGTTTTACCACAAAGTATGACTTTCTTGACCTTAAAATGTATGTTTTAAATTCATTAACAACATATTTAGATTTCATGTCGCAACTCAAACGGGAACAAAAGATAATATTGCTCTACCCATTCACTGCCATTCATATTTTTTTCCGATCTAAGGTCCCATGAGCTCTACCGAAAGGGGTGTGACTTCGGCACTCTATAAGTTCAATAATGAAAAAAAAATGGTTGGTGTAGTACAAATAGGGTACGTCCCAAGTCTCTTATTTTATACTGCTAACCCCTAACTCCTTACTTGAACCGGAAGTCGTTCGAGCTCCGCCATCTTTAAGGCCGTCTCATGTCTCTTATTCCTGCCAGTAAGGAGTTAGCTTTAGGCTTTAGGAGGGATCTGTTAGGTGCGATGAGTAAGGTAACACGAGAGGTTCCTAACAGGAAGTCTTTTTCAGCTTGAGGCCATGACGTATAAATACCCGCCCCCTTCGTCTGTCTCATTTGAACGAGATGGCGGAGAAATAGCAAAAGTGTACCCGTTACATGCATTCTTTGCAATGAAACGCTGTAATTCACATGCCTATGTGACTACAAAGTAGGGATGGGCAAACAATCAAAATTCATTATTCGATCATCAAAAAAAATTAACGATCAATTATCTATTAATTGATAAGCGAGTATTTCAAAAAGAGAGAAAACAAAAGAGTGCAGTGCAGACTGTCGCCGCAAGAGAGCGCAGCTGCCCCAGATTTGAACTTCAACCCCCCAGGCCAAAGAGGAAGAATGGCACGCATGCGCAGTTCACCCCTGGGTGTTTACAACTGCTGCCAGCCAGAGTTACAGGCTTCAGTTTTCAGCAAAACCCTCCGTCTTTCAATGGCGTAGTGTTTTCAGAGGCCTCAAGGGAAGCCGCCGAGGCTTTGGAGAGCGATGAGAGCCTCCGTCTGTTTCTGATTTTTTGCCTGGCATAGGTCCGGCGGGGGTCTCGTAGGCCCGTCGAGCCGCCGTGCCAACGAGACCCCCCCGCCCGGCGAGTTGCCATGCCAACGAGGCCCTTCCGCCCGGCGGCTCGCCGGACCTATGCCAGGCATTGTAGGGGAAACACTGCGACTATCGATCAAAATTATTTGTGATCGATCAAAAGCCTTAACAATCAATCATCGATAATCGAAAATTGATGCCCATCCCTACTACAAAGAGTAACGTTAATGATATTTCGTGCAAGACTGTCATGTTGTAATTAAGTTTATTTCATTCACAACCGGTTGCGGTGTTCAGCAGACTGTCTGTGACGCGTGGCTGTTAAATGTGCAGCTGCTCGAGTGATATAACACCACACATACACAAACACATACACAAAAACATTTGCCCATCATTAATTGTCCTGCATGTCATGTGAGTGGAATAATGTTTAATAGGCTGTAGGTAAGGTATTAATTATTAATATTAATAGGCCTATTAATTATTATTACTTTCATTAATGTTGTTGTAAGCTACTGTCATTACCGTCTGTCCTGCATCTCTCTCTGTCTCTCTCTCTTTGTCTCTCTGTCTCTCTCTCTGTCTCATACGGATTACTGTTAATTTATTATGTTGATCTGTTCTGTACGACATCTATTGCACGTCTGTCTGTCCTGGACGAGGGATCCCTCCTCGTGCTCTTCCTGAGGTTTCTACCGTTTTTTCCCCCGTTAAAGGGTTTTTTTGCGGAGTTTTTCCTTATCCGCTGTGAGGGTCCTAAGGACAGAGGGATGTCGTATGCTGTAAAGCCCTGTGAGGCAAATTGTGATTTGTGATATTGGGCTTTATAAATAAAATTGAATTGATTGAGGTAGACTGACAGGTCTGATGTCTTATTCACTCAGCAGCTGACTTGTTGAATGATGGCGAGTGGATTTAATCTGCTTTGATCTGCGAATATAATGTGACTTGGGATGTACGCCAAACGCTGGCTCCGTTATGCAGCAGATCCAGCTGTGCCGCCCATAGGTGCCGCCGTCACCAGAATAGGACGTCGCTTTACGTGACGCTTCAGGTTAGGTGGTTAGCAGTAATTTTAAGGGACTTGGGACGTACCCATAGTCTCTGAGTAAGTAAAAAGTGATGCAACCGTCCCGGTCTCCCCTACAAATGAATAAATGAGCCTCACGTCACCTCCGTCGCTGAGCAAAGCAACACGTTTACAAAAGACGCTTTCCGGTGGTTCAGTGTGACGTTACCAGAGAACAGCATGGCTCGGGGCCAAGAGGATCAATAGTGTACAATTTCATATCAGACAATTATAGCAGCATATATTTACCGATTTCTTGCAGACTCTCCATCCAGACTCATCCCTCTTGTAGCTCAGCAAGCACTCACCCACTGCCCTCGCTTTATGCTCATAATCCATAATAGTAACGTAAACGTTACCCTGCTAACCTAGCAGTAATGACGTTACAGCGGGCTAACGCACGATACTGTTATCCCCCACTCAACAAAGAAATCAAAGTCTACCTCTACAGAGCTAGCGTTAGCTTGAATGAATGAAATATGCTATGCAATGGCCTCATCGTTTGTAAAGAGCAGCTAGCACGCTTATCTGAGGTCTGTGGCAACGCTGTCGGTCTCTGTTCCCTGGAAGGCCTTTATGTCAGCCAACACCTATCTCACCAAGAACGTGAAAATCCAAAACTATCTGAGTGAAATAAAAAAAGACTATCGTTAGCAGAGGTGTCACACTATCCAGAAAAAAACGACATCCGGTTATAGATTTCAAAACAAAACCCTCATTCACAATTTTAAGTTAATAAAAATGTACTAGGTGCTATAATAAAACATTAAGTATACTTTCAACGATATTAAGTGATTTAATGGGGTGCTCTGGTGTTGGTTTGTACAGAACAAAACATTTAACTGAGCGAAAAACTACATGAATCTTATTTTGAAGGACGAAGCGCTCGACTCTTCTTTGCAGTCTGGGACGCCGGACGCGTTCAACGTCCAAACGCAGTGCTCCGTTTCGCTACAGTTTCCACGTTGAACGATAGGCTCGTTCGAGATGAGCTAGGCCTGTGCAGCGTCAATCACCGGCGATCACCGCACAATGCATGTTGGTTAGTTTTGTGTCCGACCTCATCACGACGTACTCTGATGTATTACAGAGCATAGACACGTAGACATAGGCCCAATCTCAAACCACTCCCTACCCACTACCACTTCACTACCGAGTGTCACTCCAAATCAAGTTACACTCGCAGCTGCGGAGGGCACTCCTGATTAAGGGGAAATGTATGAAAGAGAAGCCAAACCATGGGACGCCCTCGCCACTCTACCGGAAGAAGGAAGCATCTGTAACCATGGATACAGACAGATGCTTTGTGAAAGCAAAATAGAGCAACGGGCTATTAAAAAAAACAGTTAAATATTAATTAAAATGAGTTAAATTAAAAAAAACCTTTAATAAGTCAGATAAGAGATACAGTGCAGTGTAATCAAAGTAATTAACTTGTTCATATTGTATAGACACAGTTTACACATTCACAGATGAACTTTATTTATTAATCTGGGCAATCTCACCTCCATCCCTGCTTTGCAGCATTCCTTTTTTTAGTAAAGAGACTCATTTTTAATCTGTAGATCGATTAACTGCTTTGTTTTTTCTTCTGTCCCTGTGAACACATAATTATATATTTTTTAAAAATCATGAGAATGGGATGAGGAATTTTTTAGACAGTTTTAAATAGTTCATTTAAGCATATGGACATGTAGGTTTTCATCTTTTGACACCAAACATTCTGTGAGTTTGTTTTAGACTCTAAAGTCAGTGGGAGGAAAACAAATGTGTGTGTTTGATCTAAAATATTTTACAAAGTAGAAAGACGGAACTGTTACATTTGTACGTTGTTTCCTCCATTGTGATGTTGCGCTTCCTGCTGGGCTCATCAGAAGCCTGCACTGATGCACACTAGCTATCTAAGGGCTGAGCAGTCCACTCGCACTCAGCGATAATTGGTTTGGGACGGCCCTTAATATGGCGGAGCTCCGCGTGACCGCGCAAACGGAGGGGGAGTGAATAGGGCGAGGGGATAGGGGCCGGTTTGGGATTGGGCCATATATACACATATATACACCCTTTGCGTCTGACGTCACGCTCTGCGCGCGTCAATAGGCTCGTTTGAGATGAACTGCGCCCGGCTGCGCCTCGCCTGGAAAGTAGACGAGAGCAGGCGGCCGCAGCGGGGGGCGGTGACGAAAAGCTGCGATGAAGTCGGACAGTTCCCCCAAAGAGCATGGATACCAAGAGGCGGAGCTCCGTTGAATTTTTACAGTCACTAGGGGTGCTGCGGTAACGCTGCCGCCATTTTGGACTGTTGAGCTTGGACTGTTGCTCCCAGACAACATGCAAGATGTCAAGGAGAGAGGAGAAAAAAGTAAAAGAAAACTTTAGTGTTAATGCCTGGACTTGACCACATTTATTTTTATGCCTTGCCCAGTTATTTTACCCTCACCCTAACCTTCCCCCACTGATAATTATACTGGATATATAAGTTAATGTGGCAAACGTTTTTTCCTTTTAACAGATGCATCCCATATGGAATGCAAGAGAATTGAACGGACCATTTATATCAGAACTGATTACTGCTTTAGCATTGAAATATATCATATTAAAATAGCCTATATATTATTATCATTATTATTATTATTATTATTATTAGGCTATTATTATTATTATTATTACTGACCCCTTACTGTACAAACTGTAAATAAATCTTTATTCCTGACTATGTGACATCGCCATTAATGTTTTTTTTTTTTTGTTTTTTTTTGGTAGATTGGCTTATGGGGTGATTTTGAAGGAGTAATTAAGTTAAGCTTCTCATAAGTGGATGTAATATGTAGAGATGCCATCTAGGCCGCTTTTCTTCGTTTTGTTTTTTTAAAGTCTATATTTTGCTTTACAAAAACGTGAAAAAGCAGCTGTGACGAAGCTATCACGAGGTGATAGCATTGTAAGCATAATTAGTAGCGATATACTTCAGTTTGTCTGTGTGTTTTTGTATGCAAGCAGGTCTGCTGCGGTCTGCTGACAGTCCAAAATGGCGGCGGTAGGACGAAACCATGGGCGAATCTGTTGCTATGGGGCATTCTATTGAGCTTCGCCTCTTGGTATCCATGCTCTTTGGTTCCCCGACAGTTTCCCACAGCCTTCAGTCCGTACAGGAAGTCACAGACACACTTACATCCTGTCTGGAATGATGTCAATTCATTAAAAAAGTGATCAGACCCATCCGTTTGTTCTCAGTCTCCAGTTGTTTTAATTATGATAGATTAATTTATTAAAATGCTTTACAGGTGATCTGTAGTTTATGTTCATGGTTTAACCTCCATCTGACGTGAATTTTCCTGTGAATCAGCATCATATCAGTTTGACCTGTCCCCTTAACTACACAGGCTAAATAAACAGTGCTTGACTATAAGGTTCATATTTTCAGAAAAAAAAATACAAGACAACAGCTTTCATTAAGGCTCAGTTAAATCCAGTTAGGGCTTCACATCTGTACAGATGTTATTTTAAGAATCCTCACATCCCACTGACCACAAGTCTCTGTGTTGCTAAATACTTAAATAATTAAAACAGCCCAGTGTTAATATATAATAGACTCTGTATAGTTTATGATGAATGTATTTCTCTGATGACTATGACGGAATCAAAGATATTGGATAAAGGAGATACCCCACCGTAGGCTTATCCAATGTTAAGAAAACGGTTACTCTTCCTGCCCCCCCCCCCCCACCGTGTTCAACAGAGGCTCTGTGGATGTCTGTGTATGCGGATCGAGAAGCAGGTGGAATGAAAATACATTCTTCCTATTATTGCAGCCTATTGCTGCACAAAGTTTGGGCATTTTTTATTTATTACTAGCGGTAAATAACTGTTTGTAAACTAACTGTGATTTTACCGCCTTTTTATCAAGATCTCGAGATCTCGCGAGAACTTGTTTTCTGAGACGGACAGGGTTCAAACAAAGTTAATTTTCTCTTGATCTGTGCGGATGAAAAATGCAGCTTTAGTGTCAGAATGTTGGTAAGATGTGTGGCTTGTGGAAAATGAACCCAATATTTACTTTAGTGACTATAGGGCGAAAGAATTGACCATAAATTGTGATCACGTTCATCTTCCTCATTGACGACAATACATTCAGAGCTGCCGCAAGTCTCCTACGGGGGCGTGGCGCTGACGTCACTGAATCAGGAAGTGAGCTGAGTTGGGTATCTCGCTTCATCCAATATCTCTGGCGGAATCCGGGAGAAATTTGCAAAAGTTCCGCCCTCAAGCGCTAGGATTGGACAGGCAGTCTGTCAGTCAAACTCGCACCCCAGCCAGAGCTACATCACCATGCCTTCATTCATATCTTCTCTACAGCCAGTCTGACGCTGTTACTTAACAACTTCACCTTCACCCACCAAACAGCTGTAACGAAATTGTGAGGCTAGATTAGAAATGTTGATTAGTTTGCCTTTGTAATCTTGGATATTTCTATAAAAGAGAAATGTTGATTCATTTGTTTGCTCTTTTGTTTGATCATTAGGCTGTGTTAATAGGCCTACATTGTAAATAGTTCATCGTTCTTCTTAATTATGCCATTACTATAATTCCATTATGAAGAAATTATTTATATATTGAATAATTACTTGCATTACTATAATTTAATTATGTAGAAATTATTTATATATTGAATAATTATTCTAATGTGCTTGGCTTAGACCTAGGCTTCATTCATTCATTCATTCTGTGTAAGCTGACCATGCTACTAATCGTTTCTGGTGTCGTGAAGATCACCTCGTGGTCTATCGTGGTCTCACCTTGCAGTTCGAATCTACTGTAGAGGGGGGGGGGGACACACTTTCATTGACTTCTCAATTGATGAACCAATATGGAAAGGAACCCTTTCAATTGTTTGTCCCAAATGTGTGATTTACAATTGATAGTCAAATTGGAAATAGATGTTGTTGATAATCAAATTGGAAGTTAGGCTAGATGTTAGCTTTAGACAATAAGTCTCACATCTCACACACTTAGCCTTTTAACTTGTGTGTGTGCCTATCTTGATATAAAACGGCAAATGTTATACATGACAGGATGGTCTATGAGCCTGGTTTTCAGATGTGAGGCTCTTATGAGCCTGGTTTTCAGATGTGAGCCGCTTATTCGACTTTGAAGACAGAAATAGCTACATATTCCTAGGCTACACATTTCAGAGATCTTTATGTGTCAGTAGGCTAGCAGCTAGTGCTACGGTTGTCAGGAGAGGGGCTGTCAATAATACTTCATAAATACATGAGCTGACCAGGCCTTTAGCAGCTCCAAGACTAAACATCATAAATTTGTCAACATAATGAATAACACACACACGCGAATCAGAGAAATTTGTTTGACTAACGTTAGTTTAATAATAAATATACATTACAATATGGGTTATTCTTCCTCCTCCTTCCCTGCGATGAAGTGTGAGCCAGCAGGGAAGCGCGAGTGAGCGATGCAGTCACGCAACGGATTTTGGCCTTTTTGGATTGGATCAGGGACTTAACCAACGTGGTTAGATAATTGGCTATCCCCTCATAAATATTCATGATTTTCCCAGATTCCGCCTACGAAAAACATATTCGCAGGCGGTGCAGTCGGTGGAAAGCAATTGCAGCGCCTGGTTCTGAAAACTGCAGCCGCCTCACTCTTGTGGTTTCATCGC